TTTTGGCCTACTTTATACACTTATCTGTAGGCCAAAGTAAGGATTACATTTTATAAATTTGTGATTGTAACTTTAATTCTTGTAAAACGTTATAAGGATATGGCTATACTGAAAGTTTATAGGTGTTTTGTCTATTGCGTGGACATATAAAACCTGAACAAATAAATAGGAAAATAAAATTATCATTTTAACGGAAAGTAGGGATCGTTGGTTATTTGTAGAAATGCTATAAGAAGTATCTAAAACAAACTAAATACTGTAATAAAAAGTACACAAACAAGTAAAGTGTTACTAGCTGAATAGATTCTGAAACGATTTGGTTGGCACATTTAGACTGCTTCATTTAGCTACATGGATCACAATGTCATTAAGGAAATTTAACCCTGATGTATATTTACCATGTATCCACTGCCTGAGCTGGAATGGTTGCTAACCTGAAATTGAAAGACAAACATGTTGATATATTATTGGTTATTATGAAAAAACTTACAACTAATTAACTTTAAATCTCATTATTAGAAATAGTAAAAACGAAATCACGGAATATTTCAAATAATTATAAACTTTTAATATTAAGAGCCATCTTCCGGTAGCATCTAAAAAACATGACCCGCCATCTTCCGGTAGCATCTAAAAACATGACCCGATCATAAATAGGGTTTTACTTTTACAAGACATAATTGGTCAAATAATTTTCAACTTATCAAATACCCATTATTATAGCTTCTTATTTGTATAGCTGTGATACTCTCGATACCAAGTCTTATTTGTATAGCTGTGATACCCTCGATACCAGGTATATACTTTTCTCCATAATAATCGCGTTACTGGTATAGCTGTGATACCCTCGGTACCAAGTCTTATTTGTATAGCTGTGATACTCTCGGTACCAAGTCTTATTTGTATAGCTGTGATACTCTCGGTACCAAGTCTTATTTGTATAGCTGTGATACTCTCGGTAACAGGTATATAATTCTATTCTCTCCCATAATAATCGCGTTAAGCTAATAATAAATATTTGTGATACTCTCGATACCACAGTTATTGGTAAACCTCGACCACAGATTCTCATCACGAATAGTTAACGGTTTCATGAGGTTAACAGGTGTTATGGATGGGATAATTTGACACGTAAACTGACGAAACAAAAGAACGTAACGCTGTGCACCAAAACTGTCACGGCCAGAAACAACCAGTCATTAAAAGCGATCTAATTTTGACGTGATGACATCACACAAGTAGATATTTAGGGTTAGCTATCGATGATCAGTGTTCTGTTATAACGTAAAGTCACATTCTACTTACCAGGGATGTGAAATGGTAAAAAAAAAAAAATACAGCATAAACCAACACGTAGATTCCTTTATAGTTTCAATCTCGTTACTCCGTGACGAGATAGGATGGCAATAAGCACGTGACATTGTCTATCTCAGGGGGAACCATATTTTTTGAGTGCAACGAACGGAATTTCTTAATATACATTACGTGTATCGGTTTAATACTCGTAATAAACTTACACTCTTTCCCTGCTTATTAATCGACACAGAAAATAACAAGCTTTCCATTAATAAAGTTAAATACATACACTTTTATATAAATCATTATCTCTCTACCTGTAGTTACTTATACAGTTTTATTTCTTTTATACCCCCCGGTGGCTCAGTGGTAAGATTATAACACTAAAAATTGGGCTTAGATACAGGAGGGCACAGCATAGATTGATGCTTAAAACAAACAAACTTCTTTATAAGATCGATTACGCCCGACGATTAGACAAACATTACGTCATGACTGTAGGAAATTATAAATAATTAACGATTGGATGAGCAACAAATAAGAAATACGATGACCCGACTCACCCAGGAAAACTATTTTCAAGAAGATTTAAGAACTTTCGTGCAAAGCTACAAAAAAAAGGGCTACATCCGCATAACCTTCCATAATTTCGAACTGGAGGGAAGGCAACTAGTTAACAGCCCCCGCCGCCAACTCTTAGGCTACTCTCGTCTGACCGAAGAGTAGGGTTTGACCGTCACTTTTATAACGCACACATAACACCATGGTGCGGAGCAAGATTTTGTTTGGGGTGGGGTAATAACGGGATGCGAACAACGAATCCACAGTCCGGCATACTATCCATTGGACCAGGCTCATTCCTCATAAAAGATAGATAGAGGTCCCTTTTTCTTATCTGAAAGTTTAATGCCAGGTGTATAATCCTAGACGTTAGGATACAAGATTAGGCTGTTGTTACCGAACTGAGGTAAAAGACTGAAAAATGTATTTATAAAACTTTTCATTAAAAAACAATCCCACGTCTTACCTACGATACTGACAGTGTTAGTCTAATTCACAACTTAGGGGTTCAAACACGGTTTTAAGGTCAAAGTATCGTAATACTTACGTCACTCAGTTGGATAGGCGTAACAGAATGGGAACCATTTACTTCCTCTCTAAACCGGAAGTTGTCATCACTAGTGACCCCTGAGTCGTTTTGATCCACGTTAAGCTATCAGAAGAAACAAACAAACAAAAAAAGAGAGTTCTTATAGGAGGATAAAAACACGTGCAACGTATCCCCTGACGTAACAGTTTTTTTTTTTTTATAATTATTTGTCATCTCTCTTCACAACGTATGATAGTACGTAACTTATTCATTCACAAGACTCGTGGTCTAAATTCAGTCCAGACATTTAACTTGAGGAGAGTTTAGAGGAAAAAAATATATATTTACGTGAATGATAATAAAAATTAGAGATCTACGTGAAAAATAAAATACCCAGCAACAAGTAGTAATGGTGTAGGAGCATGTCGATGTATATAAAACTCAAGTAGTAATAGGGAAGGACTGTAAAAAAACCAGCAACAAGTAGTAATGGTGTAGGAGCATGTCAATGTATATAAAACTCAAGTAGTAATAGGGAAGGACTGTAAAAAAACCAGCAACAAGTAGTAATGGTGTAGGAGCATGTCAGTGTATATAAAACTCAAGAAGTAATAGGGAAGGATTGTAAAAAACCAGCAACAAGTAGTAATGGTGTAGGAGCATGTCAGTGTATATAAAACTCAAGAAGTAATAGGGAAGGATTGTAAAAAACCA